CGGATTCGAAATCAGCGACCTCGTAAACCTTTTAAAGCTTAATTTCGCTGCAATCAAAGAATTTTTAGCATTTTCGTCCGCCATATTGGTTCAGCCATTTTGAATTTTCAAATTTTAAGTTCGGATTTGGCATCAGCGACCCCGAAAACCTTTCGATACTACATTTTTTCGATACATCATGATAATGGCAAAATGACGGCCCGCGCTGAGCCCGCGCATTTCATAAATAGTATCGTGCCGGCAACATAATGGCAAATTGATGGCACGTATATTTTACATGCCATCAAGATGCTATCATCAAATTTAGAATTCACGTGAGGGCAACATTTCACGTATAATGAAGAAGCACCTTGTCCCTAGTTCGTCAATATCTACTGCAACGACAGTAACATGACGGCATCTTGAACTCATTTGGCTATATGGGTTTATGCATATTCATGCATGAAAAATTTTTTATTAGGATTGTTCCGTTTTAATTGCGAAAAACTTTTGTATATGAATAACGATATTGTGTAGAAACTGTAGGTATGATTTTTTAATAGTGATTATGTATATGTGTGTGCTTATACGTATATATAATGTGATTAATTAATCAAAATAGTTTGCAGTATAATTATTATTTTTGAGAAATACTTTAAGTTTATTTCAATATTTAAGTTTCGTAATCTGTAAACAGATCACAATTAAAACTCTTAAGGTCCAGTTCCATAACTCACGGTTAACTCTTAACCGAGATTCAACTTGTTTCTCATTAATAAGTTGAACCTTGATTAAGAGTTAACCGTGAGTTGTAGAACTGGGCTTAAGAAATTTTAGGTATTTCAGAAATGATATTTAAACATATATGTTTGATTGATACTTAGACAATATTTAAATTTATTATGTCGACATAATAAATTTAAATATTATTTAAATATCAATCAAGTATATGTATATTTAAATATCATTTTTATACTACTAGAAATAGCTTAAACTTTTTTGGTAATATTTAAAAAAGATAGCAGATTCTTTCTGTAACATTTCATCAACCTTTCAACAAGGTTTCATGTGCAAGAATCGCGGACATTTTGCTATTCCAGAGCTATCTCAGAAATGTCGCAGACACATATATCGCAATTTTTATGAAATGTTTCACTTTTCAGTTGAAATATTTCTGAGATATTTCTAAAAACTTTCGGTGTTGTATGAGTATATTGAGTAACTTCACCGTCAAAAAATTTTTACCGATTATACTATATTAAAAATATACCATATATTTGTATTAATATTTTAATATTAATAAAATCTTTACTATAAGCCTGAAACAAATAGTGCGAGCATTGTTCTTTTCTAATTCACATATCGTTGTGAAGAGGATTCTTCAATAAATGAGACATGAGTGGTTTTCAGAATGTTATTATCAGCACATGGAAGTTTCGTATTCGTCTCACAAAGTAAAGATTAAGTAGACGCGAAATATCAACAATTGCGAATCAAAAGAAAGGCGGCCTCATACGCGACTCGCGGACTTGAGTGGCGGCCACCTCCCAAAATAAAGAAGGTATTTTTTTGCTTACAATACATATCTCGATCATAATAATATAGATAATAACGGCATTTATCATTACAGTATATCGTAAAATATCACAACATTAATATCTGCCGAGCGAATGAAGCGAACGATCTGTGGCTTCTTGCGAAGGAAGAGACTCAGCGAATGAGTGGAGTCTGCACTTTCCACATCTACCGGATCTACCCTCTTTGTCTTGATATACAAAAAAAGTAAAAGAAACGAGGAATCATTGTGTCTCACTCAGGAAAGATACTCACGCGTAGAGCCGTCCCTTCGCGAGAAGCTCCGTTTAATAAATTAACTAATTGTCAATCGGCGAACGTGACATCGCCACGGAGAAATCACATCTGGTCGCACGCGTATATTATAAATAAAAGAGCTGTACGCGAGCGGCATGTTGAATGAAAAAATAACTCTCACGCGCATCCGCAGAAAAACTTTTAAATCGACTTGCGTTTTAACTCGCAACCACTGTGATTGAAGATGAATAATATGACTACTGTGTAGATTCAGTTTTTTTTATTTTGATAATAAATGGCACTATATTTTTCAACGAATTGACAATTCTAATTATATTCCAATTATTTCTAATATCTATTTTCATAACAAATAAAAATGTATTATAAACTACAGACAAAAAACATATATGTATATATATATATTAATAAATATATGTAAAATATATAAGTATAATTAAAATTAATTAGAATTTTAAATTAATTGAAAAATTATATACTAAATATTTTTCACATATTTTTTGAAAATAATTGCAAGCTTTTCACAAGTGTTCAAATTTATCTCTTTATCAAATTACAATTACCAAACCCCCCCCCCTCTGAAATTTTTTATAAATCCTTGAAAATCCTATTTTAGGATAAAATAATTATGCGTATATTGAGCAATCTTTCTGTTACTTTAAAATATGTGACATGAAAATGGGTTCGAACTCTTAGCGGTTGAAAGTTAATCCGGAAGTCGCCGCGACGGAACTTGTTCGAGTGACACGATACAGTCGTGGTCATATAAAATCGAAGTATTATCGAACGGCACTCGGGTATGATTTAGAAGAAGGAGAAACGTATGTACGTACAAAATGAAGAGGAAACGCAACAATGGAAGGAACGTATCGATCTATTTATAAGAAAAACGCACAGCGCGATGGCTGCTTAATATCAAACCTGCGATTCACGATCGGATATACGAATCTGCTGCCGGAACATCGGCGATTATCACCGTTTCTACAGTCTTCCCGGTTTAGCGTAATTAGCGGACTCGATCCTGAGCGGAACCCGATGGGAAATTCTCGGGGGGAAGTCGCTCGCGAGCATGTTCAAGATCAGTACGGTAAATCAAACCGGCGAATTGCTTCAAAGAGCAAGCTCTGAAGAAGCGTTTGTGCATTTATGCGATTTTATCGACTTCATACTCCGTTACCTTATCTTTTAGCCACGAGGACTGAAACGCTTAGACTAATTTCCGAAATCGGCTTCACGCTGGAAGTACTCACTATCCTCTGCAATGATTCAGGCACACCTAAGCACACACATTTAACGATCCTTTCTTTCGTCTGCAGACATACAAAAAACTTTCAGAAAGGGACACAAACACGCACGCACACATACACATACACACGCATATACATATACACAAGTTTTTACGTGCGCATTCGCATACATTTTGATACGTCTGCACAATGTATATTAGCAATTACAGATTATTCGAGTACGGAGAGAATGTGTATACAATACCAGCGATCTAGCTACATAACAATTACTACAGCTATATACACAGATTACTACCGGACAGCCGGTCGCGTCAAGTTCACCTTCATGGGCCTTTGGAGAAGGTTCGACGAAACGGTAATCCATCTTCGTCGAGTTTCATAATACAAAATAATAATACGTTCTATACAGTGTTCACAAAAATGCATTCAGCATTTATATGGTGATAGTACACACCATACTGAGGAAAAAGCTTTAGTAAACATAAGTTTGAACCTTTTCTAAGATATAAACAATTTTGTATGTTAGTATGACTGACTAGTTGGCTCTTATAGCATGCGATGTAAAAAGAAAGAAATAGAGATAAATAGCATCTGATAGCCTATTTGGGAGAATTACAGGTCCAATAAGATGATTTCTTATATTGCCCATTCAATTACAATTCATCGGTTGATGTCAACTTACTGATTCCCATTGAAATCTTTCATTATAAAGTATGTATGAAAATTGACTGGAACATTCAGAACGCGATTTGTAAACACTGAAGTAAGTCTTCACGTCGCATGCGACACGTAGAATAAATACAATAAGTCAGTTATGATATTAACATATAAAACTGTTTATATCTGAAAAACAATTCAATTTTTGACCTATAAGGTTTCTTTTACTCTTGTCAGTATAGTGTGTATTATCTACCATATAAATGCTGAATGCTTTTTAGTAAGCAGTCTGTATATATATATAGATGAGTATGTATGTATTGTGTGTGTATGTATGTATTTCAGTCGTGAAATATTTATATTATACAAAAAAATATCTTCAACTTTATTTCTATTGAAAAAAAAGTGAATCAGTTTTTTTTAGAAATATTACAGATCAAGAAATGGAATTGTTCAGGAAGTCAAAATTATATCGTTTTCAAGGCAAAGTTACTTGAAAACAATAATATATTTATATACAAATTATAGATTTACGCTTTTATAATTCCACAAACGTAATCCGCAATATTTGAAATTATAAATTTATATTTTTCTCTCTCTGTCTAACTGACTAATTCATTTATTCAAACCGGTTTCATCTTTAGTATGCTATTTAAACGCACTTTTAAATTAATTACATATGAAGATGTAGACGATAAAAGAGCACAACAGAAAATAATCAGAAACGATAAAAAAATATATGCTATAATATGAAGCAAAATAAATTGTTAATACGCAGAAATGGTAAAACTATAATTTAAAAGCAAGATATCAGTAGAATGTAATTTCCCTGAGATGCCTCTCCTAGAAATCACTTTGAGCCATCTTGGGGAAACATTCTCTATTTGATTAATATTGTCAGAAATGCTGTCAAGAATACTTTCATATAAAGATACAATCACGATATTTTTAATGTCTCAATTTGATATTTCTTTTCACACTAACTTCACAAGTCGTTTTATAGTGTACGTTCACATTAGCAAGATTATATCGCCGTCGTATTGCTGTAGGTGCATAAATAAAATTGGCGCTTAAGTTTTGCTCGATGTTACTTCCCATTGCAAAGTTTCGTCGGACCTTGACCGTGTTTCGCCTGTCATTATTTTTCTGTAACTATATTTCTTTACTACACTCTGTATTCCCTCTCGGTTAAACTTTATTGATCAAGACTCAGTTCTACCAATGTAAGATTAACTTTAATCTCAATTTAACTTACTGTTTACCTTTTTCTAATTATTAGGATTGGAAAGTTTCTTAGAATTAGAAAAAGATAAAGAGTAAATTGAACAGAGATTAAAGTTAATCTTACATTGATGGAACCGAGCCTAACACTTTCCTTTTAAGCAAAGCACGCTTGACGGAAATCATTATGCTTCGTTTACCAGGAAGAAAATACGTATATCTGTCTTTTTGAAATAGTTTCGGAAACATGTATTCATTTGATATCGTCCTTAAATTGTGTACGCAGTTGAGGTCGTTCGTCATGGACAGCAACACTGTACATAAATTTCGTTCGTTGCACGGAATTTTGGAAAACGCAAAATCCACATATGAAAATTATTTTGGAGGATCGAGTGTTAAAACGCAATTAACAATCTTGCAAGCTGTATATGACTGTTCGATTATTCACATTTAAATGCGCACTTATGAGATGATTAATATCAGCCTCGGTCTTGCGAATCCATACAATGGATTTCACACGAAGTAATCAACTCAAACATACTACTTCGATGAATATTAGTTCGACTATACAGAGGCGCGATTTTTTTTTATATGGAGTAGAAGTACAGTCTAAGAACGATCTAGCGAGGATGTACTTCGTATCGCGTTTGGCTGCTCCTCCCAAGTCGACGATTTCCTCGTTCATCATTATCGTCATCTCTTGTAACTACCGCGGTTCGTAGGCTTCATAGACGAGCTCTGGCACCAGAGCCAACGAGAACGTGGCGCTGGCCTGTCTTGCGTACTGCCGTCTCGTGGTGATGGCTTCGTGTTACCTGTTGTTCTCTTCCATTACCACTTGTTTAAACACACCGGCAGGCATCTGACTCTTTACCTCGTGACTACCAAGCGCGGTCGTGCCGTCTTTTGCAATAAAGAGTTGAAGACCAGTTGCTGCAAAATGCAAATATTTATTTACTTATAAAATTTACAATCTTTTTTTTCAATTATTCTTACTTTCCAGTAGAAAATTAAGAAAAAAGAACCAATTGAACAAAAGACGCAAAATTCTCCGTTATATTTTCTATAACTGTCATCTTTTAATGTATATAATAAATATAATAAATTAGAAAAGAAAAACATACTCTCGGAACTTTCAAGATCCGTCTGCTCCAAATTCGTTGCTTTAAGCAGTTCGTCGATAAGAGAATCAGGATTCGGCCTAGTGACTTCAACTCTACAGAGGATAGGATTACCAGCACCATCCTCCGCTTTTTTTCTACGCTCTAGCGCAGCTTTAGCACGATCCAGAGATCCAGTTTCGCTGAGACCTGAACCGCCGGAAGGATTTCTGCGAATAATAATGTACAAATTACATTCATTTTTCATCACATATTGCAATACGTTCTAATGTATTAAATCGAGCACTGGGCATAAAAAGCAGGAATAAAGTACCAACACTACTCTATTCGATGAAATCAAAGACTATAAAAGATTGAACGTGGATACAAATAACGGTAAAAACAAATCTGATACATGATTTATAAGAATTAATTTTATCTCTCGACTCATTGACCACATAGATTTACTTTATAAATTTTTATAAATTTTACTTTATATATTTTATATATATAATATATACTTTATATATTTTTATATAAATTTACTATAATTTACTTTAAAAAAATCATTCAATTTATTAAATTTATGCTTATTTTATATCCTGAAAGGGTATAACTTCTTAATGAAATGATTGATTAAGTCTTGCTTTCAAGTAAGATTTGATCGATTGTTCCGTTGTGTTATATATATATATATATATATTGTATATATACATATATTGTATATGTATGTATTATACATATATATATATAAACTTATTTATTCGTTCAATCTTAGTTAAAATATATAAGTTCAGGATAGCAAAAAATACATACCTAAGATATAAAGTTTCTATCTAATATTTCAATTTCGTATCACACTGATTTCTTCGCAAAGTAGTGTCACAATTGTATTTACAAGCAATAGATATGATATGTCAAGTATGTTGACATATCATATTATATACTTAATAGATAATTGTGTAGAGTTAAGATTCTTTTAAAATTAAGGGAAGTATTATTTCTCAAACAAATAGATTCTATGCCGATGTGCTCGCATTTGTTTAACTCTTGAGGTGAATGTTCATCGAGTATGATGTGTAATGCACTCATTTAAAAGAAAAAAAAACATATTAAGACGTGAATGTCCGATAAATATACAAAAAATAAATGCTTCTCTGAGTATCTGAGTATACTAACTATATACTCGCATCTGAGTAACTGAGGATACTAACGTATCTGTGAAGATACTAACAGTCAATTTAATATATAAGGGAGACGACTTCTCGTACGGGTAGTAGTTGATAGGATTAATTATACGCGTGGACGTTAAGGGAAAAAACGATTAATTAAGCAAGTGAGCAAATATATGAAAAAGAGAAAAATCGCAGAAAGAAGAATAGCTACCATAAATATATACTCATAGTGACCAGTTTTTTTTTGCGGTTAAGAGTATATATTATATTAATTAAAATAAACAAGTTAATAAAAAAATTTTCTTAACAAATGAAGGTTGCTGTTAAGTAAGTTGTCTAAAAATAAAAGTAAAACATATAATGATTATGATATTAATAACGTATTATTGGTAATTTAAATCAGTTAAAGAAAGTAAATATTATAAATATTAGAAAATGACCTAATGAAGCAATTACTTGTTATAATTTTAATTTTTTTAATTTTGAAGATTTAAATATTTTCAAAAATTGAGCGTAGAAAACAAAGAAGCAAAAAAATCAATTTAAATTTTAAATGAATTTTATTAGAGAATAATATTTACACTTTTAATCTAACTTGACTCAAATTCAGTCCATAAGAGTTAAAAATTATTTTATTATAAAAGGATATTGATTATAATGCTAAAATTAGTAAAAGAGAACCTATCATTAAGACTTAATATGTAAAATAAATTATGTTTAGCAATGAAATAGTTCACATGAACGTGAGACATCCAAATAAATTAATGAGTGTATCATTAATAGTAGCATTAATAGAGTATATCATTCGTGATAGCTTAACATGAGAAGTGGATGTGGTACGTAAAAGTATTATTGAATGAATTTTTGTAGCAGAATTGCGTCTTTCGAAAAGTATGCGTTTTAAGTGCGACAAGCCATGCAAATGTAAATTCTTGTATTAATTGCATGATGAACAACGGAGCAAGAAAACAAGAAGTTTATAAGGGGTACTACAGAATATTAAAACAAATTATCGTTGTTGCCGAATCACTGAACGCGTCAACTTTCGGAAAGCATAGGAAAATTTTAACATTGACAACGTCCTAGACTGTCGACTTCCATTATTAGACAATGATCAGCGTTGGGTCCTAGTGAAATATAAATTGTTTTAAAAGCTATAGCACGGTGAAATAAGGTTTCATTCATAGCTCGCTCATTCGCAACGAGTAGGAGCAAACTTGGAGAGCACTTAAGTCTCATTGAGGTCTGCTCGTTCTTGGAAATTCCTGAGTATAGCCAGTTCAAGGCTCACTTAATCACACTTTCATTTCGCTATGTAATTAAAACAAACAATGATTTTTATTTCTTTTGCATAATAATTAATTTAATAATTAATTTATCGGTTAACATCAGAGAAATAAAATACGCTTTGCATCGGACAATTTACATGTGCGATTCAAAGACTTACATCAAATATATAAAGACAAAGTAATTGATATAAACAATCAACCTGAAATCCAAACTTATTTTTCCGAATAATATTTAATCCGCCTTCAGATTTCTGTTATAATAAATAAACATAAATACATCGTTAAATTAATTTTCGCTTATTATTTTATTACCGCTTAAATATTGATCGTGAGAGAGTTAATATTAATAGTGAATTGCATGAATTGTAATTGGAAGCTTTGCAGAGAAGATAGCAAAAAATTACATTTATGCACGCTTTATGCATGCATCAAGCTACTCATTGCCTGCTTAGAATTAAAGTATGCTGATACAGTATTGAGTATTCTTCATATAGAAGCTAGAAGCTACTGTTTTTGCAATAGTGGAAAACAAAGATGTATGCATAAAGGAAAGGTATACGTAAGACGAAAGCATGGACTGACGGTGGGGTAATGCTGTTTCGATGCTGCGAGATTGGTGGCGCGACTTCCGGTACCCCTAACGAGGACTCCTCAGAGTCCGCTGGACTGGTGGCGACCGTAGCCAGCTTGCCCCCCGCCCCGTCCAGCAACTTCCGGTGACCTCCGCCAATACCCCTGCAAGGATTCACAAAGCCATCCAAACTGGAAGCATAGCTACCGCATACATACACTATACACTCCGATTCACATTTCTTTATTTGTATAGAAATAATCAGCTTTTAATTAGAATAATTAAATTTGGTTTGGATTAATAACAGCGATATTGCTTCTAATCCTAACAATGCATTACTTTGTACTTCATGTGTTTATTCGTTGAGCAATCTCAATTTTTCGTTATTTATTAAATTTATAGAAAATTAAAAAAATGTGTATAGGGATCGAAGAAATCAAAACCTTAAACATTTCTGTTATTAGGTTATTACTTTTTTAATTAGTAACTCCCAGGATTTTTTTCTGCCATCCCTTTTAATATTTTATAAGATATTTATATTTTGTAAAAAAGTATAGAAAAAATATGAGGACAGATGGTATATCTCGTATAATAACAATGAATGTTTAACGAAACACGCATTCTTTGATATTATGTTCATATGTTAGATGTATACATACAATTCCCCTTACTGTGACATTAGATAACTTTCCTTACTCTGAACTGCCATGTAACGTAGCATATATTTAATTAGCTCACATCAAAGGCACAAAGAAATGATAATGGTCGAGCATGGTTAATGAAATATAAGTCATTGCACTCATATGATAAAAATAAGATATAGGGAGATAATTAAGCAGCAGCGTAATATTAAATTTGTCCAAAAATTCATCAATTTTTATTAAGTGAAATGTACATGCCTATACAAATTAATATATATCTGTTATATTCTTATATTATGTTTGATCGATCATGTATGACATACCGTTAATTTCTTGCGATATTAAATTTAAGCGAATCGATTACGCGTAAATGAGCTTTAGACGCGGACTTCTTTATTGGGTTATTATTATTTATTTTGTCTCAAGCATCGCTCTACTCTCCAAACAAAACTAAATAAAAATTACAACAAAATAAAAGATATCGAGAAAATAAATACGTAAAACATATTAAGTGATTAATATAAAGCAAGATTGATGAATATAATTTGATTGGAATATGCTTTTAACTTTCTGAATATAGAAAACACGATGTGTTATACAAGGAAAAGAAACGCTGGGGGGATTGCTTCTTCGAACATCTGTTGGTTCGTTCAGGACGGAATCGTCAATTACTCTGGAATGCCGGACATACAGTCGTTAACGATTTGTAAGTGAGATGACCTCACCTTCGAATAAAGACCATTTAATGCAAGTATAAAATGCAACACACTATTGGCTAATCACAAATAATAATAATAAAATACAAACGCATTGTTGGAAATATTCACGGAAATATCTCTTTTCTGGATATCTTCTGCCAATATACGTTTTTGTGGCAGAAGGATATTAATCGTTCAAGATAAAGCCAGATATTGCGATACACAGAATCGTTTCGAGGATTTTAAAACTGGAAACAGACAAGACAGAAACGCCAGGGAAATCGAAGGATAGAAGGAAAGAGACTCTTCCAAGATCGTCTCCCGTAAAAGAATTGCGCAACTAAAAACTTGCTGATGAATAAAACCTACCTGAGGGTTTGAGCTGTCGTCGTGGGACGTAGTGGGGCTCTTTGATTGTCAGGCCTATGGAGAGGATCAGGAGAGGACACAGCTCTGGCCTGATCGACCAGTCGCAACACAGGGCTTGTTTTGCCCTTTTCGATACAATCACAAGTCTTCGACATGCTGCGCCAACCTGCATTAATTCTCGACTTTGCGATTGGGAAGACGTTACTCTGTTGCCCATTACTCTCCTTAGCGATCGAGCTCATTATCACGTTACGTTCGTTACGCGCCTCAAAGCTGTTCCTCTCGTAATTCTTGCGCGAGTGTCGCGGCACGTCTGGCACCCTGAAGAGCCCGGGCGCCACTCGGGTGTCTGCGTTCGCGTCATCGCGACATTCGCGTGAATCGCTGTCATTTAAGAAACCATTCCCGATTTCATAAAGTGGCTGCTTTCCGACCGAATAAATGTTCTTCGCAATAATGTCTATTTTCATCGGATCTTCCACATCTGTTGGACCAATACGAGAGGAGAGAGGGCTAGATGCCGACCAGAATCGGGCTCTGGAGACTATGTGCGACAGAGAAGATGGATGCAATGACAGAGGTTCGATACAAGTATCAGGTCGATAGGCAATCGGTTGTGTGGATAGGTTCTGAGAGGAGTTGAGGATTCGTGGTGCCCATACCGGCCAGGAAGGTGACCTATAAAGATCACAACACAAATGTACAAGCATGCAAAAATCATAAACTCATATAAATAAAGATAAAAAAAGAAAGAAAGACATACGTAAAATAAAAAAAAGATAGAGAGTCCAGAGTTTCATGGTCGAGAAATTGAGAATGAAGAGATTGCTTGAGGCTGGAGCAAAAACAGAAGTTTTTCTCGCGTTATTGATTCGCTCTTTTGTTAATCATTTGTCAGACCGTTTATATCGCGTCATATATAATTCTATTCATATTATTAATTTAAAATAAAAATAGTTAGCTATTTGAAAGATTACACACTATGACAAATGTCTAGTTGAAAATGGACGAATTAGAAAATTCTGATTATATCAATCTGAATTCCGATTATCTCAATTAAAATTTTAGTAGATTTAACCAGAAAATTTTGATTTGTCCATTTTCAACCAGTATTCCAATTAATTCAACCAGACATTTTTCTCAATGCATGAGTTTACTCAACAAGCAATTGTTTTATCGATTAGCGTATAGAAGGTTGATGTCGTTAAAGGTCGAAGATAGAATATCTTTCTAGAGTCAAGATAAAGGCGAATAATATTTAAAGCAAGATATAGTGTAATAACTGTAGCTGAAGTATTTTATTAATAAAGCCAAATGTCTTGCATTATAAAAAAGAAATCGTTAGTTTGTGTAGTAAAATTATGAATGAAATATACTGATCATTTATTTATCATTCACGCGTTATTGATCATTTGCAGTTATTGCTATAAACAGACATATTTTTTCGTGCAATTTTTTAAACCTTATTCGATTTTCAACCTCGATTTTAAACCTCGATTTTCAATTCATGCTCGTTGAATTGTTGCTGTTATTACAGAAATAATAAAATTAGGCAATTTGCAAGTAGATTAGAAGGAAAGTGAACTAGATATCCATAATTTTTATAATTGACAACTACAATACTACATAGTTTCCTATTTCAATTAAATGTAATTGAATGTGGAAAATAATGCAATATGAAAAGTTTAAATCGTTTTTGTCAATAGGGAATGAAAATCTAGACGTCATCGTTGATTATGCCTAACTTGAAAATATTTTTCAAGATATAAACCTTCCTGATTGTTTTGTTTTATATTACGATATCCTAGATAACCTGAAGATTTCAAAAGTTGTTCAAAGTAAACGCGTGAGAGTCGTCGAAACGTATGATAAGTCTTACCTAATGTGACCGCTATCACCGCTACTGCTCTGTCTGCTATGCTGACTGTGCGAATTTAAAGAACCGTAGCCGGATCCCTTGCTAAGTTGACTCGTATTGCTGCTGTTGCGCGAATGCCCAGATTCCGTGTGCGCCTCTACTAGGGTCTCCACAGGAACCGCCGAGGGTACGATTTCGCTGAGAGTCATCGGATCGTACGTTTCCGTTCCGCTGAGAAGTTCTAATTATATACGACTTATTAAAATAATTTTCCTTAAAGTTCCCTTCTAGAATATATTTCAGGATTATATTTTGTAATTTTAGACTTGTATTATTCTCGACGCTTTGTATGTAGCTACATACAAACGTTTATTTATTATTATTAAATATGAAATCTGTTTTATGAATTACTTGTTTTATAAATGTACTTTATGTATTAGACGACATAGAAAGTGGGCAAATTACCGGAAGTGAAGAGTGCGGGCCTCTTCTTAGGAAGACTGCCGAAACCACTGCTGGCACTTGCTATACTTCCCGCCAAGGAACCGGTAGATACATAATCCTCTCGATTAGAGCATCTCTCGGATGCCGTCACTTCGTCACCGGTAACACCAGGTACACCTTGCACCCCGGGCACCGCCAACTGCGTTTGTTTCAATGATGGGGAAGGGCTGAGACAATAATTGATTAATTCGTTAATCAAAAAGATATCCATTTCGATTAAACGCAAATACAGTTGTCGCACAGCAGAAATATAAATATAGATATAAACTTAAATCTAATTTAACTTTTAAATAGAGCCTTAATGAAAAGAAATTCTTTATAGCATAAGATAACCGGATTCTATAATATATAGCCTAGTATGATCTATTCGCTGTTTGTGGATAATTACATGGTAAATTTAACAGAAGGCATTAGTAAATCGTGCAGGTTATCCGTCTGACTCAATTGCATCAGTTTATTGCTCAATTTGTTCATTCTCCTATTGTCAGTAAAGCAAAATGCAGAACGTCGTGGTCGTAATATATCTCGTAGGTAATTACTTTCTATAACTATCAAGAGATGATTATTAATTTTCACAGTTCATATTATTATAGCTCTGTATTCATATTTTACGACACTGTATTTAGTTTATATTTTAATCACAATGTTTTGTTTATAACCAAAGAAAAAAACTTTTTATAAAATATTTTTCATAAGATAGAACTAATATAGCCAATTTAGGCATATTGAGTGTAACTTTTTTTTGATACTTTTATTATTCCTTTAGAACAGTAATATATGTTCTAAGGTTATTCAAGACTATGGATAATAATTTATCTGCTAAACTGCTAATTGTGGAGATAAGTAGACAAATAAATAAGTAGACAAGTTGATCGTTAAAACAGTTTTTTTGTGTTTTCTTACGCGTCAATATATTAATAAACTTATAATTTTTCATTTCTCTAACTTTTTTTTACGAAAAAGAAGAAAACTACAAGTATATATAAAATAACCTAAATGCTATTTTTTCTTAAAATTTTCATTGCACTCATGTAAATATTCGAAAATGTCTTAAATTTTTTAATGTTCAAGAATATTTTCTCTTTTAAATCTGACCATCAGTTTTCAATTTTAGACTCAATAAAAAATTAGAAAAAATTACAAAGCTTAGGCAGATTATATAAAGTCTAATTGCCTTATTTTCTATTTCTGTTTTTTTTGTTCTATATCACATTTTCGCGTGGTATAGAACAGAAAATAGTAGAAATAGAAAATATGCTTTCAAGAATTTTTTTCATTAAGGCTCCATTTAAAAGTTGAATTAATTTAGATTTAAATTTATTAAGTCTATTACTTTAATTAATTTATTTAATTATCCAATATACTAACTCATCAAATTAAATATTATTCATACTAAAGATTACATATATACTATAATATAACAAATCCAAGAATTTTTTTTTAGAGTATAAATTTTCACATAAACATTCAACGATTTATAATAAAGCACTATTTCAGACAAACGGATAGTGTCTTACACTTTAAATAGGATATCTCCGGAGAGCATATTCATTTTTATGGCTACGCGCAGCATAGAATTATCCTGACGATGTCGCGCATCATAACCCTCCAGGAGACATCTTCTTCGGCAGAAGCCAGCTCCTGCGAATTCGGCCAGGTTTAAATCGGTGAAGCCCAGTTTCTGGAAGGACCTGCCTCCTTTTAATTCCTGTCGCACAAAAGAGCTTCATAAGAACATGTTTTTAAAGTTAAATAATTGTCTATATATATATATATATATATATATATAATTACGTTTACAATATATTTGTAAGAACGCAATGAAAATTAGTTTTGTAGTAAAAAAGTATAACTACAATGTATGAATATTTCGGATCTTTCCAAGAGAGAGATTCATACATTTGCATTTATTCGAATTAATTAACTAATTGTAAATAATAAAACTATTTGAATATTTTTTAAACAAAGTTAGCAAATATTTACAACAGGAAATACAACTTCCATTTTATTAATTTTACAAATAAAATAAAGAATTAATAAATCAGATAAAGACATTTTTCTTAGTCAATTATTGCTCTGTGGTATTTCGGGCGTGAGAATGTGAGTGAAGAGTAAAACGTTTGTGAAAACAAAAGTTGAGAAAAATCTCTGTCTTCCTTTCCTTTCGTTTCCCAGCCCGGCGATGTTCACACCTCAAAGTAAGTTTGCTCTCACCTTTCTCACAGATATCCTTAAAATGCATGGATCGAGTACGCCCGTGGACGCGTTGGCGCTCATTTTGCATAAAAACTCGAACTTCGCGTTCCATCTCACCGTGTGCTCCTGCACTTCTTCTCTGCAAAGATAGACAAAGATTTCGGATGAAACGGGAGATTAATGTCTTCCCGTGTTATTCAGTTGCTTTTATTGTTACCGAAAGTGTACTAATTGCTTTCTCTTTCTCTCCCTTTCTCTAATAAGAGGAGGAGGGTATTTTAATTTAACATTACATACTCCTATAATTTATGTAGATATTCAAATTCCTTCAAGTGCTATGCGATCTCAAAAATTGCATATGACTTACAACGATAATTTTCATTAATCCTTTTACAATAACTGTGGCCACAATCGTCTGCTTTTTAATTCTTAGCATCTTGATAGATCTCGGAATGAATTTTTGTTATCTTAAAGTCTGTGCTTTAAATTGACTAGAAATAATTAATTTTTTTATCCATTGATTCTCTCTGAAGTTCAATTCAATAAATTATTTTAATTATCATTGTTAAAAATTCCCCACATTTCAATATTTTGTCAGTAAAACGTCACTATAGAGAAAAATGAATTCTGCATTCATGAGAAGATTTACGGCTGAAAGGAAATGCGTTCTATAGGACAGCCCGTATATACTCGAGGAAAATGTATTCTGGAACAACTCGTGTACTCAAGAAAAATGCAAAGTAACGTTCGAAAACCCAAGTACTCAAGAATTCTTTCAAATAGTCGTGCGTCACCGAGAAATGCGATTAAATAAAAAATGAAACGTTATCGTTAAAATAAAAAAAAATGTAAATTATCCACCGATTCTCATTATCATTTTTAATAACGTTTTGCATTTCCTAAGAATCCAAGTGGATTTTTCTATGTGGCAACGCTTTTCACGCCAAGTATGCATGCATAATAATACGAGAAAAGAGACAGAGAACCTTTCGAGAAGACGCGCTCTCTAATGCAAACGAAGGCAAATTGGCGCGTATGCATAATTCCATGCGATCAGCGTTTCAGTTCCGCTGGGAACACGAGGACGCCAATGAATCATGATCCGAAATGACGAGGGCGTCTCCCGCTTCGAAACCCTTGACCGACATGTGTATCTTGTTAATGAAACGTGCGCGCCGATTAATGTCCAATGCTCTTCACTTCCGGTAAGAGTACTTCTAGCACACGTTCCCACATGCACCAACACACATATCGAATCCGCCAAAGGGATGGCTCATACGGATCGATAGCGATTTCAATGACGAGTTACCATCATGTCTGAATTTCGTCAACTAATTTCATCCACATCTAATGAGATTCGCAGTATGTCATGTGGAATCATGTGGAACAAGCAACATTATTATTATCGATTTCACTCGGTTTGCAAATAAAATCGTAATTGATGTTAGTACGTATTGATAGCTGCAACGTGACACCCCCGGCTAATTACATTCGATGATGTAAAAACTGAAATTGCAAACTGTGAATAGGTGAATAATTCCTATTTATTGCGATGTACGCAATGCTTAAATATTATTACTGATTTAACCTGGGCGGCAAACAGCGTTCTATTATTTCTGACTTTGTGTAATAAACTTCTTTGTGACGTGGCTTTATTACTGACAATGAGCAGGCAATTGCGATGAACTGTTATCGAAAAATAACTAAGTTATTCCAGAAAATTGACTGCATTTATAAACGCATAAATGTTCTTACAATTATAATTATTGTACAGTCATATATAATAGAAATTTGAATTGCGTTTTAAAAACTTTTGTAAAACGAGAAACTATTGATAACATCAAATAAATTTATTGATAATATGAAATTATACCCAATCCAACCCTGCATATCCCTGCAATTTTATATTCCCCTTTTTTCCTTCGATGTACCTTCTCACCTTACTCATCTCACGGATATCTTAACTAAGCAAGCGTAAAGAGCGATCAAGGCGGAGGCCGATATTGACTCATGGTGTACCGAATAATGCGTGATGACATGAGTTTAAAATAAACCAACCCTATGCACAACACCCACCACTCTACAGCGCCCACGTAACCCCGAAGAATCACCTTATCGTAAATATCATCGCAAACCTCTCTTATCATACCAGGCAGCCGGAATATCGATAATGGTAGGTAGTAATGAAAAGGAAAGAAAGGAAACGCGCGGGCGTGGCGGAATATCGCTCGGAGCGACGAAAACGTGCAAATAATCACGGGGAGGAGGTTACAGTACGCACAATTGCAATTCGAGAAGAAAATTTGTATTGTTTTCTTTTCCTTTTTTTCTAAACAGTTGCTATAAGCTATAAATATCTTTGTGACTGACGTCAATCGAGCGTTTTATAGGCGCGCGCGCGCACATGACAGTGCGCTTTATTTTACAATATTATAATTTTCAGAACCTATCGGAAGAATTGTTTTTTTCGTGAAATTTTGAAATTTATTATCAAAATTTATTATCAGAAACGTGCTTCGTGATAAACGAAAAAAATGAATCTACGATAAAGAGTAAAATATATTCGATAAAAAAGAAACGAATATTTTAGGGATAAAACAGTAATGGTTAATACCACTTCGCCGATAAACGGTAATGTAGGAATAGGGTGCCTACGTGGCCCACAACAACATTAAGCGGCTTAGTACGTTCGCTATGGTTGTAATACTATATAAAAGTGTGTGTGTTTGTGTGTGTATGCCATTAATTTTAAATGTGGTTTCTATCGGAACGAAAAGCCCATTAAAACGCAATCTACTTCGTGATATACGAATTTCGTAAAACATAGATACTAACTGCTCCTAAGAAAAATCGTGCGACTTAAAAAAATAATGGGAGGTAACAGAAAAAGGCAAATCTTCATTTTCCACAATGTTAGTCAAGCAACTTGACTCGAAGCATTTGCGTAATAAAAGAAAAATAATAGGTAACGCAACATGGATGACGTCTGTTATGATAACAGCCGATAAGAAACTACACGTTCGTAGAAACACATTCCTTGCACGCAATTGTGCTATTTCCAGCATATTGCAGCGTTCAAATATTTACACATATATAATACAAAATATATTAAATATTAAAATATGTTATATTTTTACATATCTTATAATTTTACGAGAAACAAATATTTTATTTTCTCAAGTTGTTATTTTTCCAATGGCTGTTATTTTTTCGGTTGTATTATGATCGTACAGACATCTAAAAAGTATAGCTTGTATATAATCAAGTGGAAACTTATTTAATGCTAATTATTATATGTACATTATTTATATATATTTGTAAATCTATCTAATCATCTTGATAAAGGAGGTAAATTTTCAGAGAAATATGTGAATAAAAAATGTATATGTACATGCAATTCTATATAAATTTTTTATAAATAAAGAATCAAAATCGAAAAGACAATTTTATGTATAAGGACAAAAGTTAATGATTATCTTCTACTTGTGCAACATCGATGTTTCTACAAATTTTGAATCTATGTTTAATTAAAGTTTATAAAATTTTTACGGGTAATTTTCTAATAACCTTTAATTTCGTTCCTTTCACGTAACAAATTGCAGGAAATACATGTTCCTCTATACTTCATAAAAATTAAGGATTAAAAAAAATAAATATAAATAGAAAAAATGGAATTAATTTTTATATTTTAAATGTATAAATTTATATAAACATTATTAAGTATAACATTTTTTAAAACTCAATCTCATCAAAATACGCCACGGCTTTATAAACACTATACACAAAATATTCCAGATTAACTTATATATTTTTTTAGCAAATTTGACGTCCATCTCGTGTTTTTCTTTTTTATAATTTTTCAATTATTTTCCACTTAATTTTCGAAGATCGTAAATAAAAATCCTTGTTAAAATATTAATGCAACTGAAATACAAAACATATTCATATCTATTTACATTTTTGAGGACATACAAATTGTAAAATTACTAGCTCGATATATATTATAATAATTATTATTCAATTTACTGTTCAGCGTTTTTCATTAAAAGGAAAGCGGAGAACAATGCGACGTATTGTGGAAAGTAACGATCCTAAAAAATATACGATACCGCGAACAGGAAAACAACGAGATAGTTGAGAGCCTAAATTAGGATAGTGGGTTAAAAGAACCGGTGGTATCAAATGTCATTACGGAATAATAACGATATCGTTGCATGCGGTATCATTGCTCCATTGATAAGAGACAGGAGATTGTGGCGATGCGATAGAGAACGCAAGCTACAACACGAATTCTCCGCTTTTTGCCTCGTAATGTTGAAATCTTGTGCTGCACGTGCAAACGAAAATTGGTATTGCGATAATTTCCCGAGTCTGCAAATTCGCTGAAAATTTATTCCATGTAGCTTTTACTGTTCATGTAGAAAATCCGAATGAATTCATTAATAAAATAAAATAATAATTATCGAGCTTCAATATTCAAAATAAAATATTAATAATAAGGAAAAGTATAACTGAGAGCAAATATCGCAGTTATGTTAGCGTACAATTTTTAATATTGTTTAATATAATTTTTTAAATATAATTTAATATACAATTTTTAATATTCAAAATATATTTATTTCATTTATCTTCTCATAAATGTCGATCATCATAATCCGCACAAACATTTCGGTTTTTTTTTTCAAGCCATATTCAATGAGTATATAATATAATGAAAAAGATAGATAGATAGAGAGAGACAGAGAGAGAGAGAGAGAGAGAGAGAGAGAGAGAGAGGGGTAAAAATGCACTTTTAGTGAACTATAAGTAATTCAACACTTCAATATTGCAAATATCCTTTCTTGACAGTTACATATATGACTGATAAGATAGATTCCAAGAGTATATTCACAATTAATATCGACATAAATTAAAATTAAGAACAATAATCTACATTTGAGAAGTCGTTATAGACAATCTGTCTACATCAGAATTTACAAAGCGAATTTACGAACAAATTCATTTCGCAAATAAACTTATCAATTACGCGTTTCGCGAATAATCCCATTTACGTCGCATGCTATTTTTATCAGAAATGTGTCGCTTTACAGAGCATGCTTTAAAAAAATCTTCATGTTGTACAGTCGTGTTTGATAAACA